GAGGGTGTCCCAGAAGGCCCAGGACTGAGCCCCGGGGGGAGAGGAGAAAGGGGGGGGTCCCAGAAGGCCATGTCAGCTAGGGGCACACGTCAAAGGGAACTGGCACAGCAAGGCCTCTGTCTGCATCCCATCTAGGGAGAGGATGGACTGAACCAGAGACCCCCCCCATCCTCCCCCCACCCCCCAGGTGAGCTGGATGGGCTGGTGCTGCAACAGAACTAGCCAGTCCCTGGGAGCTGCTAGCATCTTCCCAGCAACACCCCCCCGCCCAGCCAGCCCCTGCAAGCTCAGCCAGGCCACGCTCCAGCCTAGACCCCCAGGCCCATGCCCTGTATCGACTGCCATTCAGGGTGCAGCCCGCCCAAGGAATCGCAGCGCTGCTGCCAGCCAGGGCAGGGGCAGCAAGTCCCCGGGGCGAGATGCCACCTCCCCCCGCCGCGTACACAGGAGAGGTTGAATCGAGGCTGTACCAGGCTCCGGCTGAGGGCTCTGCCCAGGGATGGACAACAGGGAAGGCAGGGGCAGCCGGGTGCGGTCGGTACAAACTCCCAGCACCCTGCGAACCCACGGCCAGGAGCAGCCCCCCATATAGGCCAGGGCTGGGGAGCCTGTTTTGGGCCGGGGGCCGCTGACCCACAGGAAAATCAGTCGGGGGCTGCACACAAGTGAGAAGCAAACAAGAAAAAACAAATCCTCACGGACATGGCCCAACTGAGAAGCAGAAAGACCCTCCCCACATTCCCCTCCCACACCACAGCCTGGGGGGGCAGCCTAGTAGATTGTATGATCCAGCCCCATGGAGAGATAGCAGGGGGGCTGGAGCACAAGCACCCTCATGCAGGGGAGGGAAGCCCTGAGCATCAGGCACCAGATCCAGGAAAACCAGGGGCTGCAACTGGCCCCCCAGGCCTTAGGTTTCCCGCCCTTAATACAAGCAAACGAGGCGGTCACCCAATTAGATGGAAGGGAATTTTTTTCCCTCCATCTAAAAACCACATGAATCTGTTCTCACTTATAAACCAAAGTAGCAAATACTGTGCTTGTCGAGTTTTTAGTTGACACTCTGGAGCGCGAGCTGGGTGGAAGTCCCATTCGGATGTGTCACGGCAGAGCTTCCAGCGCGCAGGGCGGTCGGTCGACCTCAGTAGCCCAGCCTTGGCCAGGCATGCAGCTGAGTCAGTGGGGATGAGTCAGGGGGGCTCACACTTAGCGAAGGCCAGTCAGCGACCCGCGACAGCTGCTCTGCCGTGTTATGGGACGGGATCCCCAAGACGCTGAGCCCACAAAGAATGTCTCGTGTTGGACTTGGAGGTGAAAACTTTGAAGGGTCAGCGACTGGGCAGCAGACCCCACCCACGGTCTCAGGATGTTCCGGTTCATCAAAAGTAAAAAAGAGAACTCAGCCCAAAGGTTTATTTTTATTTCAACATGGCTCATTTCAAATGCCAAATAAATAAAAGTAAAATTGCCTTCTAGACATCTCATTGCTCACTATATAGTACCGGGGTGGGGGGGACTACTGTGTCCTTTTCCCCAGCCCCCTCAAGGGCAGGACAGTAGCCTTCTAAGGCCTCCCAAATAAAGCTCCCCTCCATGTGTCTCAATGTCAATGGCTCCAGGCTAATAACTACACCTTGTCTCCAACAAGGCAGTCTGGCCTAGCGGCCACAGACAGTGAAACACCCCCTTCTTGAAGGGCAGTGAGGCCCAGCGGCCAGAGTCTGTTCTCACATCCTGCTCAGAGGGCAGTGAGGCCCAGTAGCCGGAGCAGGTAGCCACACTCCCTGCTCCCAGGGCAGCAATGCCTAGCAGTTGCAGTCACTAGTCACAGCTGTAACCCTCTGGGGGCTAGGGGACCTGGGCTCACCCTCTCCACCAGGTCCTAGCCCAGGGCCCAGGGAGGTGACCACCGCTAGCTCAGCAGGGAATCTGCCCCAAGCTAACTCCCCACCCTGAGCTACTTCCTACCAGACTCACCACAGCTGCCGCCTTCTCCACTCCTGACCAGCCCCCACAGCTCAGTCCCTCTGCAGCCCTCCCCACCCACAGCACCTCCCCACCCAGCAGCTGTCAGCTCCACCAGCCTTTATACCTGCCCAGCAGGGCCGTGGGGGCGGGGCTCTCGGGAGCCCTGGTTAACCCTTGCAGGGCCAGAGCGGGGTTGGTGCACCCTGGCACCGGGGGCAAAGTCATCGCTCACCTAGGGCCCCAAAAGCCCTGGGGCAGACCCTGACTCCCCCTCCCTGCATCCGCTTGTTCCCTGGGATGGTCCCAGGCCCCTCTTGCCTGCCAGCTCTCAGGAGCCAAGGCCGGAGCTGCAAAGGCTCTCTCGGGCCGCAGGATCTTTGGCTCCGCGGCTGTGACCTAGGCCCTCCGGACTGCACTAGGGCAGCACCGAGTGGCTGGAACGTTTGGCTGGGGGGCACAGGGCACGGGCCTCCCCCACGGAGCCCTCGGGCAGCTGGTGGGGGCGGGCAGCTCCGACCTTTGCTGGGAAAGCCAGGCAGGGTGCGGACTCTGCAGCTGGCACCGTCCCGTCTGCCTCAGCCCCGGGGGCAGGGCAGGTGCTGGCGCTAAGAGGGACCGGGCCTTGTGAAAGGTGCCCTGGCGTTTTTCACGAGCGTTTGGGGCTGGCTCCCCACTGGCCAGTGATTGGTGTCCTCTGCCTCCTTACCAGGCCCCGGCAGCTCCGAGCAGGGTGGGACCCCGTCCCCGGCCTCCCTGCCTTTCCCAGCGTGTGCCGGCCACCTGGGCAGGGATGGTGCAGACACGGGGGCAGCCTCCCTGGTGTCCAGTGGATCCCATTTACACCAGCAGGGACCCTGCCCCGCCCCCTGGTGGTGCTGAATCAGCGTAGCATCACCTGGCAGGAGGGGGCCTGCCATGGACTCAAAAAAAAAACCCGATCCGGGCTCTCCGTGGGGCAGCTCACAGCAGCTCTCCCTGTCCCCAGGCCCGCCCAGGCCCCGGCCCCCCCAAGGGCCCCTGCCCCTCAGCAAGTGCCCCACGGGGGTCTCCGCACCGAGCCGCCATCTCCTCCTCACACACAAAACGCCCCGTTCCAGTCCCTGGGACAGTGTCTTGCCGGGGCCAAATCCAGCCGGGCCCGAGAGGGGCAGGAAGCAACAGGCATCGTGCGAGGAAATTGGCGACCGGTTTATCAGCGCGCCGGTAGCCAGGGCTGCCAACTGCAGACTGTGATTTTAGTAGAGAAAACCATTACAGGCAACCAGACTCTCACAGGCATGTTCTGCAGCCCGGGGAAGGTGGCTCCGAAGGTCAAAAGCGAAGTAGGTGCCGTGGTTTTATTCCTAGAGCACAACAGGCCTGACTCGCAGCTGAGCTGGCAGTGATGGTACCTGCAAAGCCCCAGCCCAGCCGGCCGACTGAGCCCAGCATCAGGCAGGGTCTGGGGGCCTGGGGGAGCCCCCAAAACAGGGCAGTGGACCTGCAGCATGTTGGCCAGGCATGAGGACACGATCCCATTTCTAGCAGAGCCCCTATCCCCGGCCCAAACCATCCCCCCTCCTGGCCCATCTCCCGCCCAGGCCACGTGCCTCAGTTTACCCATCTGGATGGCCGAGATGGCGAAGAGCCATTCATTGGGATCGGGACGCCTGAGATCCTCCAAAGACAGCACAGACTTTGCTTCCTGTTCTCGCCCGCCGAGGGCGGATGCAAGCAGAGCTCCAGGGGCCCGGGTGCAGGGCTCTGGCACCGCGTCCCGGAGAGAGAGAGACGACTTGTGAGGCAGCTCTTTGGAGGGCACCTATTATGGCAGAAGTGAGACCAGGAGGCAGCCAGGCAGGCCAGAGGGGGGCAGCCACGGGTGGGTCCCGGCCACTGACCAAAGACAGGAAGTTGCAAGCAGCATGCCAGTGCAAGGTGCTGGGACTAGGGGTGCGGGGGGCGTCCGACGGACGTGGTTTCCATTGTCACAGGCGAGCCGGGTTGGTTTGTTTCTGCAAAACCCACCAGGAGAACACTTAAAGGAGGCACTTTAAGGACTAACACACGTATTAGGCTCTTTAGGGCATAAGCTTTGGTGACCGACGACTCACTTCCTTGGATGCTGAAGAGGAGAAAGAAGAAAAACCCGAGAGAGATGGGAGTGGGACGTCCGCGCTAATTCAAGCAGGGTAGCCGTGGCTCCTCAGGGTTTACAGTTTGGTGCAGCGGCTGTCCGCATCCACCACTAGAAAAACTGACCCAGGCCCCTGGTACAGGGGGAGCAAATTCAACCTCCCCCAGGGGCGGATTCTGCCGAGTCTTTGCACAGCCTCCTTGGGCCGAGCACCCTGGCACGGACACAGACCCGCGTGCAGCCAGCTCTGGTGGCACCATCTAGTGGCGATCGGAGATCCCTGCCGAAGGCCCCGTGGGCAGAAGGCAGGACGCACCGGGGGTCTGGACGCAGCCCAGGCTAGGGGCCGGGCGC